TTTCTAGGCCATCTCAATCCGTCCGTGAATCGAGCAAGATAACAGAAAGTTTATATCCAGCAAACTCTACGAGACTATTTCCCATGAGGTTTTGACAGACTCGCCAGCGTTCATTGACAACACTGAGATGGATAGCGCAACAAAGGAGCATCTCACAGCTTGTCATCCACGATGCTCATTCCTCGGCCTTCCGCGCGAGATACGCGACTTGATTTATGAAGCAACCGGTATGCTTCCCAGCGGACTTCGCTTCGTAGCGAGGTATTCGTATCACGACGCCGTCCAATTGCCCTTCTTTGAGATATGCCGACAAATGCGAGAAGAGGCTCTGGAATTCATTGGTCGCCGAAACACAATTGTCCTCGCCTTCAACTGGGGGCCCTTTGATCAATTCTACAGGAAAGATATCGGTACACTGAATCGCCCATCGTTCCACCTGGACCCATCAGGGCTTTCCCGATCCGTGGGATGCGCTACGGAAATGTTGCCATATATCAGGAGCTTGGACATAGAGGTGCATGCGAATTATTACTTCCCTCTCTGGAAATCTGGGCTACCAAATTCGCTCAAGCAGCGTTTTCGTCAACTTCAGCAAGTCATGATCATACACACGCGTACCTGGGGTGGTCCGGAAATCTCAGAGAACATTTGCGAATTGGCTCATATGTTCAAAGAGATACCTACGGTCCGCCTGGTTCGACTGCAGCCTTCACCGTTCCTTCAGCCAGGCCAAACCCGGCGTCGACTACAAAATCCACTATTCAGTCGACTGCAACATTCACCGTTCATTGAGATGGGTCTAATTCTGGAGCATATGAAGAAAAGAGAGGAATCTGATCCTTCTCATAGAGGCTCGACACCGAGAGTCGGGGAGTCATCAGGCCGTCGTTTTGAGGTTGTGTGCCGCGGATTGGACTGTAATACACGCTTTCGAGGACTTGAAGAGTCGATTGATTGTGCATGGAAGCTCAACAGACGATACGCCTTCGTCGACCTGGGATACGCATCCATGGATTTCGTAGAACTGAAGTACAGATGCTTGGGATGGACTTGGTATCAGCAGGGGTACTGGAAGGACAAGCATGTTACCTGGTCTCCGGACAAATCTCACGCTGGAGAGGGACCGCACGAATAGTAATCATCAGTCCAGAAAAGCAGAAATTTGTACTCAGCAAATATCATACCACAAATTCTCTGGATCCTCTGGTTATTAACACTACACTCATGTTAATTTCGGGAAAAGGCCAGCAATTTTCCTACTCGAGAAAGATCGAATCGGGAGACCAATCATAATATGCCAACTCTAAGAACGCCAGTTTGCTGCTTTGCAAGAATAGCTGCTAGACATAAATATCGATGAAGCTGGTTGACTCGCGGTTAATCACCGCCTCAAGCCCTGACAAACTCCTTCGTGACTTTCCAACTTTGGGCACCTGCTTCCTCCGGGTCCATGAACAAAGTTAACCAACTCCCATGGGCCGTCTCATTATCAATCAGCACGTTCTTGACTCTTGCGAACTCGGGCAAGTTGAACGGTGCTTCGAGGTGCATCGATCCCCAGCTGGTATTGCTACTCAACGAACTTGTGGATGACCCCGCAGACACCGACCCTGGCGTCGTCTGCCTGCTCCGAGCAATGTCGGTTGCTGCTTCGTATTGCTCATTGAGCATGTGATTCGTTTCTCTCGAAATCCACGGGCGCTGCGTACAGGGCACTGATGTATCGCTGGGAAAGCCGGCCGCCGGCGCTTGGAGATTTGCGACCTCCTCGGACCCCGTCCATGAGATCGCGTCCCAATTCATAGTTCCCAAGTCAGGTGCGTCGCGGCGAACGGCATCCTCTTCGATCGCAATAATCCGCTTGCCTATCTCGGCCGACATGTGGGCATCCCACAGGTTCTCTCTTCGTTTCGTTACAGCTTCCTGCTTTAGGAGATCGGCGGCTGCTCGTCGCAACATGGGGTGGCGGCATTTGGTGATGGTGTAGTACAGCGGGGGTATGACTTCTGTGTCGAAGACAAATTTGGGTGTCGACATGGCTGCTTTGGAGGGATCCCTGACATATTTCTTTGAAGAGTGCACGAGCTCGGCAGAAAGATGAATAATGGCGGCAAAGGAAGCAATATGGTCGTCATACGCCGTCTCAAGGGGGGACATGGCGGTGCTGATCCATATTTTGGCTGTATGGTAGTACAGCAAGCAGAGCTTCCCGGCCCTCTTCGCATCTTCCACTGCTGAGATCACTGTGAAGGCAACATGCCACCTGTTGAACTTCGCCAGAATCTCTCCTTGCTGTTGCTGGAGAGTCTGAAGTTGTGGGTCATCTGTTGGGCGGGAGTACACTATCCCTTTAGCCATATTGCTGAAACGGAGTCCACCGTCAATGAGTTCGTACAGCGCGACTTCTGCCTCGTCGACTGACGCGAAGTATAAGTTGGTAGCGGAGCTAGAGCGCAGGTTCGAGGGTATCTCAGCGGGATTGCTCCCAAACAAAAACGAAGCAAGACTTAGCCGGCTGTAAATGGGTACAAAGTGCTTTTTGATGACACTGACGTCGTTTCCAGCTATTGACGAATCAAGCTGTGCCAGAATTAGCCGACCCTGGTTGATGTGCACCTGCGACGCTCTCTCATCACCAAGCATGAACTCGATGCAGATGAAGAGGAGACATGCTAGAAGCGGGACCGTGACCCCTGCGGACTCGGATGGCTTCCATTCTTGTAGATGCTTGAGTGCCTTGCCGTATTGCTCTGATGCGAAGGTGTTCGAGAGCACGCCGGCCCATTTCGGGGATGATATGGTGTCTCCCGCGTCGGCAGACTTCTCCTGTGACAGAGACTCGTGGAGACTGCTGATGGCTAGGACAGCATGACGGATGCTTGGCTCAGCATGGCAGAAATGCGGGACAAGCTTCTTCCACAGGGTCGAACCACCGGATCCGTCGCTGAAGATGGCCGGCGCAGAGAAGTTGCGGTAGAAGTCAAAGGCGCGTTGTTCCCGACTTCCACCAGCCCAGTCGGCGAAAGGTGATATGGGAGGATTCAGGCGAGCAACTTCTGGGCCTGGACTTCCAGCATCATCATTGCTGCTGGCCGCCTTTTGAGGGAGGTAGCCGTCGCAGTTCCTCCCCGTTTTGGTACAGCGGAGACATGCAGGCTTGGTCTCGTCGCATTTCACCTTCCGAATTCTGCAAACACGTCAGTATGCAAGCGATTGCAAGGTGCCACAAGGACAGGAGAGGAGAGGTCGGACTCAACTTGCACGTGACGCATCCAGTCCGAACCTTCTTAGACCCCTTGCGGCCCGAAGATGGAGCAGGAAGCTGCAGAGACGCCTGCGGAGTACTGTCAGGGTCCGTCATTTGCTGGCCTGTCGACGTGGAAACAGTCTGAGGCTCGCTAATTGTATGTCTTGCCGGTGGAGCGGAAGCGCGGCTCTTGTCGTTGGCCGCTAGCCGGCGTAAGTGGCTTTGCGTTTGCGTGGCCTCGAGGTTCATGAGGCGAGGCTGTGGTGGTTCAGCGCGCTGTTGAGAAGTCCGAGTTGGTAGTCCGAGGCGGGCAATCACGAGGTTGAGGCGACGGGGGGCTGACGCTAGGGGGTTGTTTTGTGCTAGGCACGTTTACGAATGGTATTGTTCAGGATGCCGTGATGCGTGTTGAGTTTTGAGCTTCCAGTCTACTTTGGCGTGGATTCCTGATTTCGGGACTTTGGAATGATGAATCGCATTCCTCGTAATGGAAGATGACATGGTTTGGGTCGGAGGGATGAATAGAGTGGGAACTAACCACTTAACAGGCGACTGTCATAGTAGCATTAGAATGGTACTTTACTTCGTGGTACCATGCTTCGTCGAGTGCCCGGCCATGATGGATACCGCTGCATTTGCCCTCAATAAACAGCAAAAGGTGTAGAGCACGATAAAGCTCTCTCCCTCGTGGAGCTGTCGAACAGGAGGCGAGAGAATGTCTCTGCCTAGCCTGTGACGATCGTTTCGACATGGGATCTGGTCCTTCAGCCCTGCTGAGTGGCCATCCTGTCCCACGAGGGCTGCAGGCTTGCCGTTCAAGTCGCAAGTCTGGCCAATACGGGGAGCATCCAGGCTGGACATGCACCCTGGCACGTCTAGCTGTGCAGGGAATGCGCCCGACAACCGCCCCCAAATGGTGATCAAGATACAGGGACGAGTCTCAAATTGTTAGTGACTCAAGCTCAACATTGGTCAATGAACAAACAGCTCGGACTTTTTGCGAGCGCACCAATCGCAGCTTTCGGGAGGGTCTTCTGCGCTTCAAATGAAATGCCGTGCTTACAGGGCCCAAGCTCCTGCCACGAGTCTGGACTCGTCTGCGCCTCCGCCAAATCTCACCACCTGCATCACCAGGTTCCAAATTGTCAACAATTTCCTCTGAAGATCACGACCAAACAAGCCGACTCAGCGTGTCCGAGCATAAAACAAGCAAGCTATAGCCGGATTTTATCGTCTGCCTTGAGATAAACCCACCACAAATGCCAACCAAGCAGCAGGGCCGCAGCTCATCAGCCCCGCCCGTGCTTTTAGCTGCTCTTAGCTCCATAGCAGAAGTCTAGCACTGCACGCCAAGAGGCTGTTCATCCATAATTAACCTTATTTCGCCAAAGACGCCGGGCGCAGTCTGTTCACGATGGCGTCTGCTAGGCGGCTCCTTTGAGATCAAAGACGGACGTGGATGTTGCTCCTTAAGAGTTCCCAAGTGAATGCGATTGGTGATATCGGGCTGTGAGAGCTCCAGCAACTTCAGCGGCGTCCATGTCTCGTGGCTGAGCCCTAGTCGGAAGGGTATCAAGTATTCTTCCTCGCGGTTACCGGCGCTTGTCAACATCAAAGCTCATGGGGATGTAAAATATGATAACCTCGAAGAACCCATATACAGGAGTCGAGATCTCACAGGGAACGAGCAGACAAAAACACCATCTCACCCGCAGTCTTCCGATTTCATGTAGCACGCTCTGCACTTTTCGAAATGCTGTACAAATTACCACTCATAGTCATTACGACTCTCCTTGCCGGCACTCAAGCCAACCCCTGTCCTCCTACTGGTCACACTCTCCCATCAATACAACGCCCAAGCAACTCGACTTTCGTGAAGGAGACTCTGGCAAAGATCAAGCAGAATCTTGTCGACCTCACATCCTCCGATGAGCTCAACAGCACCGGCATTGCCATCGGCGTAAAGTCTGTCCACGAGGATAGCCCGCTATTCGAGTTCTACCATACGCCCGCAATAGCAGAGGCTACTGGCACCAAGGAGATTACTATCGACACAGTGTTTCGTGGCGGTAGCATTACAAAGCTTTTCACTGTCTTGGCCGCCCTCCAAGCCTCCCAGATCAAAGGCAGCGATCCCGTCACCAAGTATCTACCACAACTCAAAGAAGGGGCGGTCAAAGCACCGGAGAACAACTCTTCCCATGTTGTTCCGTGGGATACCATTACAGTCGAGGACCTTGCATCTCATTTGTCTGGCATTGGCGGCGACAGTGAGTATCTGAGACTTTCCAATCTGCCGCCATATCCCATACTGACAGTTCCAGTCGCTACCGATCTCGCCAACTTTGCAGCATACCCTTGGAAGCTGGTGGGCCTCCCAGCGATTGCAAATGAGACGCGGCCCAAATGCTCAGGACTTGAGGGTACAAAAGCCTGCACTGCAGGAGGTATGCAAGATCCTTCGGTCTGCGTCTATCTACGCTTTTCTAATGTCCTTTAGATCTAATCTCTGGCTTGAACAAGAAGCCTCTCGTCTTCCGACCACACACTACGCCCATCTACTCCAACCTCGGCATCTCTCTTCTAGGTCTTGTGGTAGAGGCCGCCACGAACAAGACATATGCAGTTATCCTTAACGAGACAATACTAAAGCCGCTTGGTCTAACCAACACCTCCGTCACTGGCCCAGTCCAAGACTCATGGGGTTTCATCCCCAAGGGGGAACCCACATGGAAAGGAGATCTCGGTGTCTACACCAGCGCCGGCGGCATCTACACCAACACCCGCGACATGCTCAACTTCGGCACTGCCATACTTTCTGAGAAGCTCTCCATAGACTCTAAGTCCTGGCTGAAGCCTAAGTCCTTCACGACCTCCTCCGGTTATTCTATCGGCGCCCCCTGGGAGATTTTGTCCTCCACGACTCTCCTTCCCACCGGAGTTCCTGTTCACATCTACACCAAATCCGGTGACCTCGGTCTCTACTCCAATCTCCTCCTCCTGATTCCTGATTATGACCTCACGGTTTCTATTCTCACTGGCGGTCCCGCCTCCACGGAATTCATGTTTCCCACCAGAGTTATTTCTGGAGTTATTTCTGCACTGATTCCTGCTCTCGAGCAAGCAAACAAAGAAGCCGCAGAAGCAGCCTTTGCTGGAATCTACGCCGACCCTGAGACGAACTCGACTGTCACTTTGTCTGTTGACGATGGACCTGGTTTGTCGCTGACCGGCCTCAAAGTTCGCGGGGTACCCGTCCTACCCAACATTCCCAATTACAGCACTTCGATCAAGGCCGGAAAGACCTTTAACATTACTGCCAGAATCTATCCGACCAACATCAAAGAAGGGAACACATGGTCTTGGCGTGCCGTCTATAAGAATCATGACGAGGAAGATGTTGATGATCAACTTTTCTTTCCCCAGGGGGGATGCCAGACTTGGGGGTTGATCGACCGCAACACGTACAACTATCTTGCCTTTGATGACTACATCGTCAATATTGGAGAGGATGGAGCCTCTCAAAGCATCTCGCCTAGACCTTTCGGTGTGACGTTAAAGAAGGTCAAGTCTTGATTGAGAACCGAAAGAATATCCATGTAATTATCGCAGCATTTAGTCAGTGCACTAGCTCTGCAAACTTCTCGTTCACTCAGCGTCGATCTGTAATTATAACCATAGCCAATTTGCCCTCTTTCCAATCCTCCTCATTCTCCACTGCCTCTTTCGAACGTCGACTGGGCATCGTATTAGTTCAGTCCCTCAGACGCCAAATTAATAAAAGATGCAGATGTTACCATTTCAGTGTACATTTTCTCATAAAACCTTCTTCAGCGCGACCCCTGATCATCGCTTGACAGGTCCCCTGGGCGTTCTCTCAGCTCACGGATGTGGTACGGCTCAACGACTGTGGTGTAAAACGTTGGTGGCTCTCCATCTTTCCACGTTCTCATGATATACCGCTTCACGAGATACGGCAGGTTATGTTTGACCTGATACTGCATGAACTTCCATTTCGGGACAGCGTAAATCTGACTGAGCTCTTCCAAGCTGATCTGTTTGGTCTCTTCAACGATGAGAAAGACCAACACAAACGCAACAACGTTCAGACCCGCAAATAAGGATAGCGTCCCTGCGGACTTCAGAGTTTCGTTTATGGACGGGAAAACGATCGTGAGAATACCGGCGAAGAAGAGGTTTACAGATATTGCGACAGAACAGCCCTGATTGGTAGATCAGCTTTGTTCCAATTCTCATCAAAATAGTATGATTTCGATGGGTTTCACTCACTGATTCTCGCTGAGACATGGGGAAGCTGAAATGGATCAGTTAATGCAAGAGTGAAATCTTCGTTATCATTGGAAGACTCACCTCTCAGACGCAAGTGTGAAAGGAATCGGGCCCAAGCCAGGAGAGTATACAGCAGCAAACACTGCCAATATTAGAACGGGACTAAGCTCCGAACTTTAAGCAAGCCATTATTAAGGTACTCACAAAAGATGAACAGTGCAACGATTCCAATTCGAACATTCGAATTTTCAATATTGAAGGAAAGAGCTGCAGCTCCCAGTAGCAGGAACATCAGTGGAAGGGTCACTAGTAGCCAACGACGCCGTCCGAAGTTATCGATGGATCTTTTGAGTTGTTAATAGATGTTTAAATTCACCACTAAGATGACCGGCGTACCTGATTGCGAGAAGGCCAAACACAAAGTTTACCGCACCTTATTGAGCATTAGATCGGTACTTCAAGGCATGAACGATGAACCTACCGAACCCGAAGCTGTACAGGAGGGCGTTTTGTAGCGTTCTATGCCCCTGAATGAAGAAGTCATCTATGCTATCAGTCAATCGCCTAGAAATATGGTATTCCATGGTGATAAGTTGTCTTACTGGAATAGAAGGCAAACACGTTGCCTAATATTAGTTAGCTCTTTGTGTTTCTGAAGGTGGTTGAAATCTTCTCCATACTTCCGCAGAGCTGCTGCGCCAAAGCTACTGTACAGGTGCTCAAGACAGCATTTCGGAGACGAGGAGTAGTCAGGAGATGACTGTATTGCCGATATGCATCCGAGAACGCGAATGACATGTGACTGGCAAATGTTAGGCCACGCTTGCGGTCATTGTACTGGCTATCGTGATATATTCCCGGCTTTCTCATGTCATCGGATTCTTCCTCAAGCTCGTTGTTCTTGTGGATGAGATATATGTCCCTCAGAGCTTGAAACTTTCCGGGCACATTGGAATTAGCGCTTTTAAGCCGTGTTATAAGCTGCTTTGTCAGATTGACGGCGTAAATGCTCACCTTAGTATTTCGCACACTGCTAAGAATCTCGTATGCACGCATAGGTCGGTAATTCGGGGTATTTTTCTGCATGTAGAATCGAGGACTTTCCATGCAATATGCCAAAGCAATCAAAGTAAACACGGCAGGTACCATAGGGGCGGCCAGAATCAGCCTGAGAGCTAGCCAACCTCTTGACGCTTCATTAGAACCCTCTGGATATTTCATACTGACGTCAAAGCTCAGAGCACCTGTAGCCGCGACCAGAACGAGGTTGAAAACACTGCCCATCATAATGCCAAAAGCGACCCTTCAGGAAAAGTGTCAGTCTCTTAGACTCTTTTACAACCTCAGCGAAGGTGCTTACCATAGTTGCCACATGAGGACAGATGAGCCCCTCCAATGGTCAACAGCTGTCTCAGAGGCCAGGATCGGGGTGCTGACAGCTTTAACGCCCATACCTGGACACCGTTCAGCCTCTGAAGCTTGGTTTAAGTAGGACCACGTACCTATTCCATTTATGATACGCACACCGAGGAGCTGATCCCACGTGTGAATGAACGCGGAAGCCAACGAGCTGGCGAAGATGAATGACGCTGCGAAGGCAATGGCGCCACGCCTTCCCATCCAATAGTTCAACGGTAGAGACAGAGGAGCGCCTAACAAGGCAGCAGCCAAGTACGGTGCGGCGTTCATGGCGCCAAGCTTCCACACCTTTCCATTTTGAAGGTCGTCATCGTTAGAAACCCGTAGCAAGGAAGCAAAGACACTTCCGGCATTAATTGAAGCTTGGACATGACCTTGTAGCAGTGCTGCTAGAGCCACAGTAATAATGATAATTTTCATACCGCCTTGGGAGAACGTCTTTTCCCGTTCAGCTTTGAGCGCTTTGCTCTCTTCATCAGTGAGTGGCTCTGGAAGCACGCCCTGGAGGCTTTCGTCCGTGTACGCTCGAATTTCTCTGGCGATTCGTGCAGCCCTGAGCAAGTCTCCGGGAACGACATCAGGTAGATTACGAGAAAATTCGTGAACATCTTTTTCAAGATCGTCGTCGTCCAGATGAACTTCGAGGAGATACATCAATAACAAACGAAACAGAAGTGAAACGCATGAACTCACCAAGAGGTCCCTCAATTAGCGCATCAAGATTGACTTGGCGTCGCCGTACTTGAGCTCGAAGCCTTTCTGCTATTGAGGGTGTGTACGAGACTCGGTCCGCCATTTTTTCAGGTAGGGGATATGACTGAAACGTCACAAACAATATGTCAGAGGATGCGAACTGAATGTTTGGAGGGAGTCGGGAGGGAAATAACCTCCTTGAAGATGAGTTCAGGGTAGTAATACTCAGCAGGTAAAGAGTTGTTCTCAAGCAGCTTAGCGTAACGTACCCAGATTGTCTCAATCAATAGTGGTTCGCCCGAGGTGAGGCCTTCAATTCGGATCCTTGCAAGCCTGGAGCAAGGCATCCGCAGGGCGAGCACGTTCCATGGATATCATACCCTTCCTCGACATGGTGTTCGCCCTCCTGCCATTGAGGCTGACCAAGTGGCAATGGGTGCGAGCCTAACAGTGAAGATGGTCGAGAGCAACTAGGATCAAAATGCGTTTCGAATATACAATCAGGCTGAAAGAATCAGAAGCCTAGAACTTCTGCTGCGGTCACAATTTCGGTGAGATCCTTCCGGCACGTCACAGTGACGATCCCATGTTTCTCCAAGATGTGGTTGCACCAGCTGACGACGATACCCCGCACTCCCACACTTAGGACAAACATAGCTTCCAATAAGAAAAGCACTTTTATGTGAGAGTTTGAAATGTAGAAATACCAGGGCTTCACATTGGTCTGGTTCCCGTCTCTTGAGTGCAATGCCTCCCATCTGCGTTCTCCTTGGATGTGAAGAAAGCCTCCCTTGCAGAAGGCCACCTCAAGGCAGCCATCAGCCTGTGACAATTACAAATATGAATCTAGAAATGATCGGTGCCATTTCACATTCCAAAGTCAAGCGTATGTACGACCATTCCAGTATGCAGACAATTACTTGTGTGTGAGGGCTAGGCGGCGCAGCAACGCCTTCCCAGCCATCGCAGCCAATCCCAGCCCAAACAACGTGATACAGGTGACTAAACATTGAAAATACAATGTGCTTGCCTAGTCATCCCATTGGGCTAGCAGAAAGATGAGGCGACACCGCACTTTGAGGGGTGATGTCTCGTGCGAAGGATCCGCACAAGCAGGACACGCCTGTTGAGGCCCCTGGGCGATGACCGGATGGCTCTTGAGAGCTCGGTTTGCTATTTTGACATTATCGATCCCCACTTTCTTATCAAACTTTCTCAAACATCTGGTCTCTCTATCCAAGTACAGAAGCATTTGCTGTCAACATGGAAGCATTGGCAGCTGTTATCGGTGTTGTCGGGCCAGTTTGCCAGGCAGCCTCGAAAATCTTCCAAATTGTTTCCGCAGTCAGAAACTCAACGGACAACCTCCATCGTCTTCGTCGACGAATCGAGCTCCTTCACCATGCACTAGAGGGCGTTCAAGTGTCCTGTAGCCTACGTCAAGGTTGTCGCTTACTGCCTCCAGAACGATTCCATTACAAAAGTATCGCGGCAATTTTGCAAGGCTGTCAAAGGTCACTGTTCATACTCGAGAGACAGTTGCCATCCGTTCCATCTGATCCCAGCCTGGCTTCTCAGATCGCACTTGCTATTGAGCAAAAGTTCAGTCAAGATGACGTTAATCAAGCTGTTGAGGACATCAAACATTATACGACCGTCTTGAATTTGACGCTGTCGTCTCTTTCTCTGTGAGTGGTTATGAAAGAAGTTTCAATGATACGAAACTAATATAGAGTGAAGAGTACACAGTTTAGAGACGCAGAGTACACAGGCTCAGATACTTCAAGATGTTCAACGCTTTGCTCGGCAGCTTCGGAACACAGTCACATTTTCTATGAACGTACCCTACACGACTGATCAGACCTTTATCTTGGTCGGGGGTCGTGAGGTCAGAGATCCTACACTTGCTCTGGATGTCCGGCAATGGAGCAGCACTGCTACTCGCCTCGCCGAAGGCGTGCTCATCGAAGGAGATCAGAATCACAATGAACTTCACCTTGGTCCAGTCAACGACATTACGGGATCTGCTGTCTCTGATGCGTCCGCCCTCAGGGTAACCGGCGCACGGTTCAATCAGCCACTCGAAATGCACAAGTATGGATGGAACATCAAGATATCCAAACTTTTGAAGGAGGGTGAACTCTACTACAATGCTTCGCTGTATCTCCAGACAGCCATTGAGATTCGCAAATCGCTGGTTGAATCTGGTGCGGCACATTTGGGAAACGACAACGATGAAATGATGGAAGAGCTCGCCGATCTGTATGGTCTCTTTGCAACCACAGACGGAAATGAACAGGCAAGAAAATTGCTGGAAGCTCTAAGCAGCTCACACGATAATCCTAGCTCGATGGACAAATCTCAGCTTTCTCGCATTCATCATAAGTTGGGAGTACTCTGTCATCGAAGTATGGATTTACCCGCCGCCTGCTATCACCTGGAAATAGCCCTTCAAACTCGACTGGACGAGAACCCGCGAGATACAGCGAAGATTATCGACACTTGTCGCGTACTTCGCGAGGCCCGCTACGAAGCTGGCGATCACGCTGAATATCATGCCACACGAGACTATGTTATTCAAGAAATCGGGTCTTTCGAGGACCTTCCGCGGAAGAGATTTGAGAGGGCGCTAGAATGGGCTCGAAACAACGGCTTTCCAGATGTTCATCTTGATAACATGGAGATACCGAGGTTTGAGGTCACAGACTCTGAGGACCATCCGCTCTTACATGTGGCCGTCGCAGACAGGAATCTTGCATCCGATATTCTGGAACAGATTGTACAGAATGTGGGGGATTTAGAAGTTAGAGACCGCAACTTCAATACTCCCCTACTGATTGCCGTCGCGGCAGATATGACGAAAACAGTGCAACTTTTGGTCGAAAATGGAGCTCGATTAGACGCTAAAGACCCCGTTGGCCACAATGTTCTTCACAAATGCCAAACGAAGAAGATGGCAGAGCTGGTATTCAGATTTGATACGAAGTCAGCTCGAAGGACCAGTCTCGCCTCCACCACGTCAGCCGTGAGGCGGACTTCGACGTCAAGCCGTCTCTCCTCTCAAACACCAGAACCCGTGATTTCTCGAATCGAAGTTAATAGCCGAGATTGCTTTGGCAAGACTGCATTATACCAGGCATGCGAAAAGGGAAACATCGACGTGGTATCCACTCTGGTGCAGTTGTTCAAGGCGGACATCGAGATCGCCGGGCCTCATGGTTGTAGCCCTCTTGCTGCAGCCATTCAGGCACAGCCAAATCTAAGGGGCGGAGACATGGCGAGGAAGAAGGCGGATGCAAACCGGAGAAAGATTGAAATTTTCCAGAAGCTCGTGATGTACGGAGCTAATCGAGAAATCGATGAGACAATTATTAGAGGTGCTGGCGGCGTTGCCTCTAGAATCAAGAAGATTCTCCGAGATACCCCGGTGACGCATCATGGAAGTGCTGCAACTCTCTCTAGTGGGGCTCCTTCTCTGGAGTTAAATCTAGAGGGATGGACGTTGATCCCGAATGGATTTGAATAGCTGGGAAGCTAGGCGAAGTGATAATGTACACTGAAGAGTTTCGCAGAAATAGGTGATTTGAGAACGAAGCACACGGCTTAAATGTGATTTGGCTACATTTATCCAGGTTCCCAGGTACTCACATGAGAGAGACGAGGAAAACCTGCCGGTGTTTTGCACTCTACAAAGGCTGTAATTATTCAAGGTTTACCAAAGAAGAAATGAAGTTTTGCTGCGTTCGGTGGTTTCGTAAGCTTTGCTACTGCCGTCCCGCCTCGCAAGGTAGTTCACACAAGAGAACTTCAGTTCGAATGAGAAACTTTGGAATTGGAAGGCGCTAGCTAAAGATAATGCAATTTCCCCGAAGAACTCCAATTGTCATGCTAATCTGCATCGAAACTACCTCTAGGTGCATTGAGAAGGGTAGCCAGTGGCGTCATCAACCGCACCCTGTGCGAAGCAGAAGTGGTAAGTATCCTTCGCTTTGTCGTATGCGAATCCAACGTTGGCCTTGTTCGCAGCTCCAACCTATACAGATGCAATCATTAGCAAGGCGCACTAGAGGCTAAGGTCTGGCAGTGATTTGCTGCAATAACGTACCGTGAATAGTGGGATGCCGGAAAGGCTCGAACATTTCCCTGAGGCGACGTTGGCCGCAGAATCGTCTTCTTTGAAACCCTTAGGGCCAACGATGGCTGCCTTCATCTCGGCTTTGGAAACGCTGGCGGTTCCCCCAGAATTCTGCTTGCAAGAAATGCTCTCGGGGAAGCCCGTCAGTGTTTGGGCGGAGGCGAGAGCGCCGAGTGCAAGAATAACGATGGTCCGGGCGAACATTTTGAGTTATCGTGAGAATTTGGGAGAGCTAGGGTATCGATGTGCTGTCTCAAATAGGAATTCGTGGTTAAGATGGAATTGAAATGATTGGATGTTCAAGTCAGAAAGAACAGAAGCGCTGCCGATAGAGGATGAAGAAGACAAATCCCACTTTCCACAAGGCGGCCCTCATAGTCTTATAGTACGTTGTCTCTAAACTTTCTGTCTCGCTGGCAACTATTCCAGGACCACATCAGGCCAGCCAAGAGGAGGCCCTGGGCAGAATTGACAGCCTCCGTTAAGCCGCGCATTGAGTTTAGTTGACAGAGCGAGTCTATATGCGACAACTATTGACATGGTCAGAACTCAAGCGCACGCTAGTCTTGCCGCGGATACCGACGCCGATATTGCTGGTGCCATGCGAGCTTAAGGCTGAGGGCGAAGCCTGCTCTTCGCTGCCCCTGAAAAAGTGGGTGTGGCTTTGTCAGGTGCGAACGATGAGACAACTGACCGGGTGCGACAGGCAGACAAAGTCTAAAAACGACAGTTCGGTTGGAGTTCATACGAGGTCTGTTATAGACAATCTCCACATTTAAGAGCCCGGCGCAATTTATCAGAGACACAGGAGGAAGGTTATTCTATACACGCCGTTCTCAGCCACGTGTTTGAGCACGTCTGGCCTTGAATCACAAGGGCTTTAATTAGCAGTGAACTGCCCCTTATCCATATGAGCAACTATATGGGGTGCTTCGAGAAAGCAACAACGCTTTGTAAGTCAACTTGGCGATTCGAGTCAATTTAGGCAAGTTCATCGAGAACTCAAAACCCGGACTGGCTTGGACAGTACGGTCGGATATTTTCTAAACACAGCGACTTGACAAATGCCGAGATTCGCAACCGGAAGAAACCAATCCCAAAAGAATGCAGAGACTCAGGCACGCAATGGGCATGCGTCAATTGTTACTCTTGAGCCACATGTCCTCTCCAGTAAATGACAAACACCTTGTGCTTTGTGACTCTCCCTACCGACGCCTCTGCCCATCTTAGGCAGCGATGTTGTTTATTGCTTGCCAACATGAATTGCTTCTACTTGAGAAGCTGTCTCCGAATCTCCATTCTTAATTTCGGTGCCCAGATGCCGAATTACCAGCCACGCTGGCACGATTGATGCTCCCCAAAGCCCGAAGTTGATGTACGGCCCGCCAACTAGGGCAAAAATTGGAATCGCATTCAGTCCGTAGCTGAGGGCTTGCCAGGCTGACTCGGTTCCGCGCAAGAGCGCCGAGAGTCGAATTGTCTCCTGTGGACTATCTGAGATCTGGCCGATGATGAAGAAGGCGAAGTTGTAGTTCAATTGAAAGCCCGATACCAGGAAGATGAAGACACCGAACCCCCTTCCGAAGCCGGGGTCGCTCCAATCAAAGATTGGTTGTGTGCGACGGTACTCGGTAACATTAACCGTCAGCCACAGCCACCACGCACCCTGAGTGAGCATAATGACTGCGAAAGCCCATCTGGCTCGCTTTTTCAGCGCGATATGGTTTTGGTCAAGCCACAAGCCCAGAAGATTACCGGAAATTACAGCCACGATGCCAGAAAGGAGTGAACCGAGAGCTCTAGCTCGAACGGAGAACCAAAGGGCAATATAAGTGAAGAAAATGGACTCAGAGTATACGCCCTGGCCAATCCACAGGATGAGAAGCAAGAACTTCGGGTTCAGAAATGTCCTTGTAGTTGCTTTGACCTCGTCCCATGGGTGGTCTGAAATGGTGAGTTCAACGGGCTTGCCATCGCTTCGTTGAACTTTGGAAGGGTTGTTGAGTAGTAACGCAACGAACGGGCCACAAGCTTGAAGCGCAATAAAGATGAGGTATACCTTGTACGACACTTTACCGGCTCCGCTTCGATCGGAGTTGAGACCGAGGTTGATAGCACCGCCCATAATCTGGCCAAGTCGAGTCCAAGTCAGCCAGTAGGCTACCATTCGCCCTCTATTACGAGGCTCCGGATAGGCAATGGCGATTGCTGCCTCGGAACCCCAAAAAATGCCAGCAGACACACCACAACAAGCTGCGCCGAGGATGACAAGCCATTCAACCCCGTAACGGTTGTTTAGGTAGAGTCCGGCGCTGTACGGCGCAAACCCAACGGTGCCAATGACAAGAGCGCCTTTGATGCCGATGAACTTGACAAGCGAAGATGTGAGCCAACACGAAACAATCATGAGGCAGAATGTCAGGGCATTTCCAGTGTTGACCAAATAGGGTTCTTGTGCGCCGCCTGGGTACGGTTAGCTAGTGACAAGGTATAACGGTGTGTAGGAGCCTTACCGGCGCCAAGTGAATTCATAGCACCCCATAAGCCTGGGGCTGCAAAACTGCACATGCCCAAAATGGTCGCATTGTAGAAAGGCGAGCGATACCACTTGACTGGACGAGAATGAGAGGGCGGTTGAGAAGTCGTGCGCTTGGGCAACGCACCTGGATTCTTTTCCGACTGCTCGATATTGGGCGCGACCCCGGATGGCGAATCCTCTTTGACAGCCATATCGCTAAACTTCGGTTCAGATTAGAACTGATGTGATCCAACAGAATACCAGGCCGGCAGGTCAAAGTATCAAGTCCCAAAAAGAGAAGGCGACCCCAAATTCCTAGAAAATTCCCGCTGCAGATTTATATGAAAGTGACCTTCGCACATGGCCGTGAAGGGGGTGACGTTGCACGCAGAGCACGCCATAGAGGCCCTGATTGGGAGCATCGTTCTCATCTCCGCGTCGGTCGCACCAAGACGATTCGAGAGTCCAGACCGCTAAACGTCAAGATCAACAGCCGAGGTCATTGCCGCCCGGTCCCGGCCCCCTTGCTGTTGATGATAAGATTTCGAGCCCAGAGATAAGGGAGTGAGGAGAAAAGTGTCGATGAGCAGCACCTTGGCATCAATGGCGTGCTTGGCTTGACCGATTAGTCATGCTGCATGCGATTTTGCATGGGCAGTAATTCTGTTATCGCGTTGTTGGTCCCGCGATGTAACTTCAAATGCTTGCCTCTTGATAATTTTGAACGCGCGGCGACTGGCATCGAAGATAAGACGTCGACCACTTCTAAATCTAGAAGAAGACCACGGTGAAATAGTACAATAGAAAAGAAAGGGATGTAAATGTGGGTGGAGTCCTCCGCTCTTACGCTCGTATAGATCAAGAAGCAATCGTCTACACACATCGCTGACAGACCTCGTCAACCAATTACAGTGTAGGTTGCAAATTCAGTCAGAATTCCTTGAAACCCGTCTGTGGTTCAGCAATAACGGGAAAATCAAATGCTTTACGACCTGCAAAATGGATGCTTCAGCATCCATATTGGAGCTAAGAGACGTACCCAAATTCCTGGAATGATGTGCCATAAAGGACAAGTCCAATTTCATTGCAAGTGCTGTCACTATCCGTAGCTGTAAAACCACAAGTTCTATATGATCGTTGAGACCAGACGTCTCGACTACGGTCGGTAGGAGATTCGCAATGTGAACCGCTGGGTCAATGGTTCTGCGCCCTCGTCATCTGTGTACCTGATGAGAGAATTTGAACTACGCTCTGAAGCCGATCCATCAGCTTTCGATAGGAACATAAAAACGTATTTCAAGGTCAATAGGGTTGGGCTGCTGGCAGGCCACTTTGAACCTCACCTCCGAATCATGATCCGAGTGAAGGTTGGTGTCATAATCGAGATCATAGAACTGACTCCGGGAGCTGCATAGAATGTAGCTATGGCGACACAATCTTCCCCGTTAGGTTCAAGAAGACTTCGAAATATCGAGGAGACTACTATAAACTTGCATCTGTTCTTCGGTTGGAAATTAGTGTGGCAGGTAACCCGCATCGCGGTTCCTTGATCAATTCGGACTGTCAGCCAATCACACCAAGATCCGCAGTTAGGAACTTGCAGCACGGGTTGATCGGCTCGCACTGCATTGTTATTACTAAATGCAGACATAAGCCGCACATCTCTTGCCTAAAGAAATCGTCAAATGACATGTGTTTGTACGGTTTCTGAGTGGGCATGGTGAGACGTCCACCAGATATTGACCGATGACTCCTTCGCCGACCGGTGGTCGATCATGATTCTGAATTGTCTGCCCAGAATTAAATATTAACATAAGGACGCATTTGAACTCCGACAGAGCTGATTTTCTATCAACAGCAACAAATTCATCATTTCAGAGCTGCAATCATGACATCCGGAGTCGAGACCCTAAAAAAGCCCTTGGTTCTTGTGCTCTGCTCCCCCTTTGTTAGGAAACGAGATCATGAAAATAAAAGTGGCTTCAATGATGCGATGTTCGATACGGTGGACCTGATAGGAGCGCTAAATGTGGGCAACGTTCAGACGAATTAAGCTTAGCGGCTACCCTTGAGGACATGCAACGCTCAAAGGGAAACACCCATGTCTTGGAGGACAAGGACAGGCATACGCACTTGAGGGGAGGTCATTCGGTATTGAGCTCGGTTTCCCAAGACTCCATTGAGGAACTTGATCCGGAGCATCCACCACTTGCGTGGAATTGATTCTTGACAAGCACGATGTCGTTAATGGAGGCCACGCAATTGATATCCATCTCAAAAACCAAATAATGGGACAGAGGTTTGTCCGGCTTGCCGCTTCACATCTGGTACATGTATTCGGACTCGTCCATCAAAGTATTTCCGCGGTCAAACAGGCCGGCCTTTTGCTCATCAGGTAATGCTTCCGAGTAAGGCGTAGGAAACGTCAGTTTGCAGGTGCAAGTGAAGATAGCCACACTCAATGTACCGACGATTTGGTAAGCTCTCGGGTTAAGTCCGCAGAATACGGACATCACCCGTGTTGGTGTAAGTTCGATAAAAGGACACTCATGATTCCAAGAAGATAGTTTTGCTCTCACTGATACGGCCAGCGGACGTGAGGTGATCGTGTGAAGTACTCCCTCCCCTATATGTATTGTGTGGGAGTTGTTTGCAGCGTCTCGTGTTGGATTTCTAGAACCTCCATGCCGGCAGTGATGCGCCTCCTCAGAAGATCCTTGCGCGACCCAGCATGCCGCGCACACCCTAACGCAGCCAGTCTCCAACATCTTGGCAGCGGGGCATTGTCCCTGCAGGGCTCCTGAGTTAATTCCCTTTTGGCGTCCTTTCCCGTCTCGCGCTGGATCTCTCACGTTGCTGAGCACGCCAACGCGCATTTTCTCACGCACTCTCCCTCCAATTTGGAGTCCCGACAGCCACTTACATGGTAAGTAATTCATTCGCATTGGTGTAAGGCGGAATGCCAAGGTGCCATGTGCCGATTTTCCATCCGTGAATGTAATTGCAGTAAGTAATATATGCGTTACTTTGAGAGACCTTCATCAATACTTGCTACTGAGCGCCCTGGGCGGAGGGCGGGCAGCTGGTTGCTGCAGGAGAAGTTCAGGACTTCGTGAAGTCAGAGGACTGGATTTTTGGTATTGCAACAGGGCTGCATACGCGAAGCACAGGGGGCCTCCCGTTCTTCTGGTCCTGACGCCGGTTCACCTTGTTTATCCTTCGATCGGCTGTCATCCCGCCCGGAACTTTGCGAACGAACACTCGAGGGCCAGAGGAGAATCAGTCATGAGGTGAGGCTGTCGGCATGGATTGCGCGTCTTCATTTATTCACGAATTTGCTGCCCGCATGCTTATTTCCGTTTCTTCCGTACTCTTTTAAGCTTCTATGTTACCCGAACTCAAAATCGTCCATTGTTCTTTGGCTGTGATAATACCCCGAGGTATCGTCTCCGCCTTTCATCTGCCGCCTCTGCATCAGCGAGTCAATAGTCACCTGCACCAGCTGCCGGCTCGAATCTGGGGTAGAATCGCCCGAAATGCCGGTCGTCGCCGCGTGATGCACGTAGACTTCTTCACCTTCCTACCTGGAAACTCATCTCACCCGGCTCATTCGGTGCTCGGTTGGCGGATGCACCCTCTACTTTGTCTGAATTTGTCCAACGGACCAATTTTACCGTTGTGCCCCTCATCTAAGTGCTCTTTACCACCTGCCATGGTGCCCCGAATGTGACATTCAGACATGCCACTCATTGCGTTGCACAACACTGATCAAGGTCCAACTTGTTACTCGAAGGAACCAAAATTACCCAAACGAGCCAACGTTTCGACGATCCTGAAGGGCCATTTGCTTCTTCTACTTCGCCATCGCGAGATCATTATAGCGGATGCCCTGTGCACATCTCCCACTACGGATGCAACTGTAGCTACTGATGCTTATTTCCACCTTACAGATACAGAAAAACAGAGACCCAGGGATCGAAGCACGCGGCTGCAATGTTCCTGCCAAGTCGTCCGAAATCCCATCAATCATGCCCGTTCCCTGCCCGTCCTATGTCCGTCCTCCACCCGCCCGGAGCGGGACAGCACCCCCTTGGCCCCTGAGCCCTGTCCTTCTCCCTTTTTTTCGTCCCTCTTTGTGATTTATCTCGGGCAGACTGGACTTGCAAGCCCTTGTCACCGGCCCATGAAACAATGATTCCGCCAATCACCAAGCCATCGCAATCTATCTTGGGTCCTCGCCAGAGGTAACCTCTGCGGCGGGCGGGCACCACCTTCGTTCTGTATTGAATCCCGCGAACCAGACCCAGGGCTACATCGAGACCGCCAAGGACTCTGTTTGCCAAGAGCCAAGTGCCAACACTCGTTTCCCGGCTTATAATAAGCAGATCATTCTCGTCCCGGAAGGCTTATTGGAGAGGCTCTCCTGCTCTCTCTTTGACTGTGTTGCTGTTCGACCTTGTTCCGACTTCTGTCTCTTCATCGCCTTGTAAAGGCACCCCCTACAGCCAAGATGGCGTCCAACAACATTCTTCACATTCTTTTCCTCACCGTCCTTTCCTTCACCTCTACTGCTTTGGCGGCCTTTGGCGTCACCACTTCCGGCAGCAACCTCGTTGTCGATGCCGGCTCATCCAACTCTCTCGTCTTCTCCGTCTCCAAGTCCAGCTGCGACATCAACTCCATCAAGTACCGCGGCAATGAGCTACAGTACGGCAGCAAGGGCAGCCACATCAGCTCTGGCCTGGGTACCGCCACCGTCGAGTCTACCACCATCAAGGCCAGCACAGGCAATGTCATCAAGATTACTTGCACCACCTCTACTTTGACCCACTACCTCATCGTCAAGGAGGGCGAGGCCAACATCTACATGGCCACTTACATCACCGCTGAGCCTGATATTGGCGAGCTCCGCTTCATTGCCCGCCTCAACAAGGACATTCTTCCCAGCGAATACCCCTTCGGTGCTGTATCCACCACCGCCGGTTCTTCATCCACCGTCGAGGGCTCCGATGTCTTCGTCGTCAGCGGCCAGACCCGTTCCAAGTTCTACTCCTCCGAGCGCTTCATCGACGACAAGGTCCGCTGCGTCTACGGCACCTCCCCCGAGGAGATCCACGTCTGCATCTCCGTCAACCCTTCCACCGGTTTCGAATTGTCCTCCGGTGGCCCCTTCTTCCGTGACATCAACACCAACAACGCCGGCGACTCCACG